TGCAGGTTTTCTGGGACCGGCTGTGTCGCCTGCATTGGGTGCTGCAGCAGGGCGGGCATGCGGGCTCCACGCTGCAGGTTTTCTGGGACCGGCTGGGCTCAGCGCCCCACCTTCGTGCACCCGAGTGGGGTTCACGGTCAAGCGACTCCTGAGAGCCGGGCCCTGCCCTCAGCTCACTGCCTAGCCCCTGAGAGGAGTGACGACCGGCCTCCCACCTTGATCTAGAGCCTCGGGGAAGGGGTCCCAGAGCACGTGACAGTTAAGCAGGAGTTGGGCCGGTGCAGGGGGTGTGGACTGTCGTGTTCAAGCAGAGGAAGGGCATGTGCAAAGGCTCAGAGGCCAAGAGAAGGCGCCGTGAGGTTCTAGGAGGAGTTCCTCTGCACAGTCAGCATGTAGGCTGGTGTCAGCTCCCCTGTGGGGTTTGGACTGGATCCTGAGGGCCGAGGAGGGCAGGAAGGCCTGCTGTGCTGGATGACCCAGGCTGTGTCTCCTCGCCCGTCCTCCCCTGTCCTCTGCCATCCCAAACTGGCCAGCTGCCCCTCCTTATGTATCACTGTGACTGCCCCCACCAAAGCTAGTCTGGACTTGTCCCTGTGCCCCTTTTGCTCCCCCGCGACGATTAGCAGGCCCATGGTCGGCAGCTCCTACTTCTCTCACCTCTGCCATTGCAGCTGCTGCTGCCTCAGGTCCCTGGCCCCCAGCACTGTTTCCTCCTTGGGTGGGGTTAGATGCACCTTCCTCCAGACCTGCTCTCTGTGCAGCCCCAGGCCTGGGCTCCTCCGTGTGCCTTGGCCTAGCCCCCAGTGGGTGTTAGGTGGTGCCCATGGTGATGGGGCAGCTGCGTCACCCCGTAGGCAAGCCTTCTTGCCCCAGTCAGTAGAGCTGGTTTCGGCAGGAAGGTTCTGAAGGTGGAGGCTTGTTAACAGATGCACCATGGCCCTTCAGGACAAGGGGAGCCTGGCTGACAAGCTGGGTTAGTGCCCTGAGGAGCCTTGGGACCAGGGAGGACTGCCAGGCTGCCCCGCCTGGGAATTCTGCAAGGCCGTGAAATTGAACCCTCGCAGACATGGGCAGCAGGGCTACGATGTACTGCCAGGAGCAGAGGGCTAAAGGTCTGCCCAATGAAGAGTGACTTGCCTGGGTGGCGGCACCCGCTGCCCACCTTGCCCCCAGCGTCCCTGAGGGGAGCATGCCTGGGGGCCAAAGAGGCTTTGGGTGGGGACAGCAGAGTCAGGGGTGGTGGGCCACAGCAGGGGGAGTGGGGGAGGGGCTAGGCAGCAGAAGGTCTTGCCTGGGGGTCCTGGTTCTGGTCTTCACCTGCCACCCACTCTCGGAGTGACTTGGACAAACCCCTGACTTGGGCTTCAGTGTCCCCATCTGTTTTGAAGGGATTTGGGACCATTTCTGAGCTCCCTACCTGCCCTGAAAAGAATGTGACCCCTGTTCCTGGAAAGTGTGGGGTGGGTGGACACAGCCCTGGTGGGGAGGAGGGGAGAATGGAGGGGTGCCCAGTGACTGATCCTAGATTCCAGGCAGAAGTGAGGGCTGCACTTTTCTCCTGCTGTGTCCTTGGCCAGTTAAATAGCCTGTTTGAATCTTGACCCCTGGAGGTGATGGATACTAACATCTCTCCCAGCTCAAAACTTGGGGCATCAGGAGCCCCTGGGTCCTCTAGGAGGTCCCAGGTCCTCATACCAGGGATGCCATTGTGGGGAGAGGGCACATCTCCTTTGGAGGAGATGAAAAGTAGAGACTAGCGTGGCCCCCAGAGCAGCAGGTCGCCGTGGCTCCTGAGAATTGGGCTGGGGAGGTGTCAGGGAACTCTTGGGGCTCAGGTGCCCCCGCAGCTTCTGCCTGGAAAGCCCGGGCACGTAATGGGGGACCTGGGCATGCGGTTCCCTTCATTTCTCCCCAGCCCCAGCTCTGTCCTCCCTGTGGGGTTAGCCCTCCTGGCACAAGGCCCCCTTCACTTCCCCTCTAGACCTACAGCTGCCTCTGGTGACAGAAGCACCTTTGAGCCCCCTGGGCTGGGGATGGGGTGATGCAGGGGTGAGGGAGCTGTCCTGCTTCGGGGCTCCCTGGCAGGCCTTGGAAGGGGGACCCCAAAGAAGTCATTGTCAGACAAGCAGGAGGGTCCAGCCTGGGCACAGGTTCAGGGGAAGGTCTGGGGCCCAAGTGGGTGGCTTGTTTCGGGGGAGAACTAGGAAGCTGCTCTCGGTGGGACTGAACCAAAGCTGTAAGGACTACTATATCATTCACTGGGTGACTTTGGGGCTCATCTGGAGGCCCCCTCGGCCCCTCTGCCTTAGAGGGGTGGGAGGGCAGGAGGAGGGTGGCCAGGGCATTAGCCCCTGATGTCCTCGCTGTGGGTGGGTGGGAGGGGGTCAGGGAGGGTAATGGAGTTCACACTGCTTGGAGCTGCAGGGAAGGCTGAGGAAGCTGAGGCCAGCGTCAGCCCGGTGGGGGCAGAGTGGGGCCTGATTCCTGTCACATCTCCCACTAAGTCTCTGGGTCAGGGCACCCTAGGCGTCAGTGAGGCAGAGGACCTACAGAACCTGTGCAGGGCAGATAAGCAGATCCTCCGTGTTATCTGGTGGCCACTGCCGGCCAGAGTGAGGGTGGGGCCCAGCATTTGTCTTATCGTCTTCTGGGCCCTTCAGCCCCAGGAAGGGCAGTGAGGGCGTGGGGCTGCCCCATTACCATCGTCAGCCTGGCAATGAGCACGGAGGACTGGGGAGGGCTGGAGCCACCAGCCCAGCCTGGGCATCCCCATCCCTTTGCAGACAGCGACTCAGCTCTCGGCCATGGGCAGATGGCCTTGATGGCTTCTCAAAGGCAGCTGTTCTCAAAGGCCTGCCCGGAGGAAGGCCCACTTTTCTCTGGGGTGAACTATGTTGGTTCATTTGTTCAGTTCATTCATTCCACCAATCTAAGGAAACCCTGACTCCGGCCAGTACAGCCCCCCACGCCCACGCAGGGGCTCAGTGAACCCCAACCTGTTAGAGCTTGGGGGCCAGAATCTCTGTAGCCCCGACACCTGTTGGGGACAGTGAGGGATGGGCCACACCTCCCCAAGGTATTGTGACCTCATGCCCAGAGCCTGAGAGGGACACTATAGGACAGCACTTGCTGTCGGGTGGCCTGGGAAAGGTGGCCATGAGGGCAGGGGAGCAAGGGCCCCACTCTGCCCCTCCTCTGGCCATGGTGACATGACCCTGAGCTGGCCTCGCTGGCCTCCTCAAGTGCTAACCTCATCCCAGTGGTACCTCAATTTCCCTGCTCTGATTTTCCCCGTCCTCCTGATTGCTTTACCAACTTTAAAATACTGTATTGGGAGCAGTTTCCTAAGTTACCCCAAATCCTGTTCAGAGCAAGGATGCTTCCTGGAAGTGGGGAAGGAAGGAAACCAGCGTAGTCAGGAAGGCTGTGCAGTATTTGAGCCTCTGCTTCCGGAGATGTGAGTGGCAACAGAGCCCGGCCCCCAAGGTGCCTGGTTTGGGCCTGCCGCATTTGGCACTTGAGGCATAACCGACACACAGTAAATGCACAGGCTGTAAGTGTGTAGTTTGAAGAGTTATGACAAATGTCTACACATGTGTAACCACCACCTCAATCAAGAGAGAAGTGAAAACAGAGATTTCTGTCTTCCATGATTTTTAGAAAGAATTTCTGTGTATAGAATTCATGCCTGTGGGAGAACCCTCGGATTGTGCAGGGAAAGCCAGGGCAGGGTGGGCAGGCCCTGCCACGGACACACTAACCATCCTGCTCGTCCCCCACTTGCGGCTCCCACATAAAGGGGCCAGCTACCTGCCGTCACCCCACCACCCAGACAACCACTGTGAGCATTTTGGTGTATTTTTTTTCCAGTTTTTTCTATGCACATAATATGTATTAATTTTTTTTTCTATGCACATTTCTTACATACATGAAATCAAATCACACAATTTAGTATTTTTAAACTTACTGTAGTGAAACATTTTCCTACATTGTAAAACCCTTTGTAAGTATGATTTCTAAGCAGTCTTTGGCATTTATTTTGTGAGCTTTGATTCAGCTAGTGTTGATACCATAAAGAGTTAACGTTAGAGAGGACTGAATTTTTAAAATGTGAATTTTATTTATTTTTGGAATAAATAGTACATTTACGTGGCTCAAAATTCAGAAGCTACAAAAAGGTATATACTACAGGGAACCACTGACGCGCTGCTTGTGTAGTGAACTTGTTTCTTTCTGCCCCTCCTGTGCCCCCTGGAATTAGGAAAAATTTCAAACCCACCAAAAGGTAGACGAGTACAATGAATACATTTGCATTACCTTCCTCTCCCTCTCTCTCCCATATACGATCTGCTACCAAACCACATTAACAATATCACACACACCCAGGAAATTTCACACTGACACAGTAAGATGATGTGACAGACTGCCCAGAGCACATTTCCTCCAGGAGTACACATGCTTTTTGACAGCTGCATACTATTTTATCCGAGAATGTCCCCAAATGCCAGTTGTTTTTAGTGTTTCACAATTACAAACGAGGTTTTTCCCTCATTTAGGATTTGTTCTTGAGGACAGGTCTCTGGAAGTGGATGCTGGGTTTGAAGGCTTTAGGGCTGCTGCTGGACTGCCAGAGGCTTTCCCAGAGGGGCTGTGCCAACAGGAGGCTCCCCCTGCTGCCTCAGCACCCCTGCCCTGGGTACTGGGGTGTTCATTACGTGGTGCCCTTCCACGTCCTCTGTCCATACACGTGTCTTAGCTGTTCCTCCTACTGGGGTGCACATGTTCTAAGGTATATATTCAACATCAGCATCACATTTGTTGCAATTATTTCCCCCTTTTAATTTTATGTGGGGTTTTTAATTTACAGCATTTTTACATTTTGAAGAAATCAAATCTATATACTTATTCTCCTCTGTGGCTTTTCTCATCGCTTTTAAATTTAGAAACCCCTTGCCATCCAGAAATCAGTTTTCCCACCCAGTTTTAAGATTCTTCAATCCATTTAATATTTATTTTGCCCAAATAACTAAGCAGTTGTGCACGTCAGTTGTGAAATCACCCTGCGACGCCTTCCTCACGCTACCTCCTCGTGGGCCTTGTTGGGCTGCTCGACGTCACTGGCCCTTCCACCCACGCCATACTTCCTTCGCTGGCCGTCATCACTCTTGGCGCTTCTCATCTGTTTCTCCTTACCGGGACAGTGAGGCGGCATCAGACAGCGCAGGTCTGGAGTTCCAAAGAGCTGAGTTCCAGTCCTAGCGCTCCCTGTGTGACCTTGAGCAAGTTACTTAACATCTCTGAGTCTCCCCAGGGGCTAACAGTACTCACCTCGAGGGGCGCTAACGAGGATGTGAAGCTGTACGTGTGTGACCCTAGGAGCACGTCTGGCACAGTCAAGGGGCGTTCGTGGGCACGAACATTGTTTTGTGAATTCCTCCCTGCCTCCCCCCAACAAAAAAAATCCCAGTGGGGATTCTGACAAACTGAGTTAAACCCATCAATTCCTTTGGGAAGGACCGGTGTCTCTGCATGATGTATTTAGTCTTCCATCAGGAATGTCGAACCTGTCTTCCCTGATTCCAACGTTCTCTGCTGTCTTCTGTAAAGCTCGGCCATTTCTTGCTCAGGCCGCTTCCTGGTACATGACATGTCCCACTGCTGTGAGGAACGTGGTCTCTTCCCACGTGTTGGTTTCAGTAGCACAATTCCGGTGTCTGGTTTTGTTTCTTGGACGGAGACTTAGACGCAGGGGTTTGAACCCATCCAGAGCCGGGCCTCCATAAGGAGACAGCCCTCCCTGCGCTCCGCCTGACATTAGGGTGTCCTTCCCAGGGGCTACCGGGAGGTCCGTCTACCTCTGGAGTGACCATTCCCCCAGGACGGCCACCCTGGGCAACCTGGTGCAGATTTACACAGTGACCAGGTCACAGGTCACGTCCGCCTGCACGCTCCTAGCAGTAGGCTGGGTTGGTGAACACCGTCAGCAGTTTTCTAGCACAGGCAGGAACACTGGCCTCCACAAGTGCCCCCTAAGGGCACCTTCTCACGTCAAACATCAGACTCCACGAGGTTTGGAAAAGTCTAGTTTATTGCACTGTCTCAAAGCACAACTAAAAATGAAACCAGAAAGTAAACTGTACAAAGCACTGAAGCTAAAAGTCATTTAAAAGTATCAAACTAGACTTGGGTTTAATTGCACTAAAGTCCCATGGGATTAGGAGAGCTTTGCCATCGAGGGGGGCCGGGCAAGGCACAACAGACGAGGGAGAGGAGCCACGGCCAGCCTGGGGCGGCCTCTGCTGTCACCAAACTTTTAAAAAAAGGATTCTATAAAAGTGAAGTGTGAAGTAAGATCCGGGATTTCAGCATCTCGTCCTCATTTAGACCTGGAAAACCTCCATCTTCATGGCTGGCTGGGTCCTATCAGAGAACATATTTTATCGCTCTTCACCTGTAGCCTGGGGGCTCCCGGACACTCACTCAGTAGAAAACAGGCCTCCAGTACCGGGCCCAGGGCCAAAAGCAGGCTAAAAAAAGCATCGGGGCTGGAGTCCTGCCTCGTGCAGCCCCCAGGAGGGAGGGGCGGGCTCAGGGTGGGATGCGTGGCTGGGCTGCTGAGTCCTAGAGCTCAGATGCCAGCGAGCAGAGTGGGCACTGCAGGCTGACCCCAAGGGCTGACATCTGATGTGGCCACAGCAACTGACCACAGCAGGCACCAGGTCCAACCTTCTGGGGGTATCAACCCAAACACCCCACTGACAGTGCCGGGCTCTGTCTTGGAGCCAGCCGGCAGTTCCCATGACTGCCCTGCACGTCGAGGACATGCAGGGGGCTGCCCGCCCTCTCTGAAGCTGCAGCCGAGGACAGTGCAGGCTCAGGATGAACCATGCAAGGAGTGTAAGGCCTTCCACTGATTTCAGAAAATACACTTCTCTTTTAAATTTGTAAGATTCGATTTCAAATGAGGTATCTTATGCAGGTTTATAATACAACAAACAAAAAAGGCAATAATTAGTAGATTCATCCTCTGAGGATGCTTCTGGTTTTTCTGATGTCCACCAGCATGAGTTAATATCCCTCTAAAGACACATCTCAGCTGGCTAACGCGGCTACGCTCCCCCACATCTGACCGCGCCTTCCTGTGCCGTCCTGGCCTCGATACACGCGCACACTTCCATAGCCTTTCATCCACTGGCCTTTATTATTTGGGCTGACGTGTGCCAGCGAGCGTGCCCCGGCCTATGAGTGGGCAGGGAGGGCACAGTGTGGCCTGTGTGTTGTATGCGTGTGTGTTCTCTGTCCTGGCACAGCCCAGTGCCTCACCTCTTAAACACGGCCTCGGTTTCCCATCTGGGCTGTCTAGCATGGAATGTGTGCTGGAACCTGCGTCTCTGAGAGAGGGGGTGGAGAGACGCTGTGATGGAGATGAAGCCATCATGGAAGACGTTCAGTGGTTGGAAGGCACTGACCTTCAGCTCCATTTGGCCTTGGGGCTACTAACGGGGCTGCCTGCGGGAGCTCACAGGCATGTCCCCGACCTGGCTGTGACTCGTCCTGCCCACAGGAGGCTCCCCGCGTCATCCTCCACAACAGGACCTGGAGGGGTCAGTGATGAGAACATGAGCACAGCACAGGGGTAACTGTAGTGCATGCAACTGGCAGCAGCCACTGTCCCCACTTGGAGATGACCTCATAAGAGTTCAGAGGCACTGCTGCTACAGCAACGGATCACTCGGTAAGGCTGTGAGTTCGGGAATGAGACGGAAACAAATATGGATTAAAGCAAGTGTGGGTGTCCAACCTGGCCAGACGTGTCTGGACAAGAGTTGATGAGGCATGTCTAGGAGCGAGCGACTCAGAAACCGACTGTGTCCACCACATAAGTCTCCGCTTCCTCCTTCCTGGGCGACTCCACCCAAGAGCTCTTTCAGATGACCTCCCACTCATCCTCCAGGTCCTCGGGGTGGGGGGTGGTGGCGTGGCCGCTTTGGGCACCGTGCGAGTGGCTGAAAGTCCTTGTCAGCCGCTGGAGGAGGTAGCCGGGGGGGCCCACGGCCCACAGCTCATCTGACGAGGTCACTGCAGGGACAACAGCCAGCCACACTTGTTAATCACCCAGCTCAGGGTGGGGCACAGGTGGAGTCAGGAGCCTGGGTCCACATCTGGATGAGCACTTTCTAGCTGTGGGGCCCTGGACACACCACCCCCACTCTGTGCCTGTTTCCTCTGCTTTAAAGTGGGCTCCCCAGCACCCTGTCTTCTTCCTGGGAGCTGAGTTCCCTCCCTCAGGTGTGACCCTGGGATGGGCTCCTCCAGGGAGGGCCTTGCCCTCGCTCTCATTTGGGAGAGGGAGCCCAGTGGGAGCAGCCTCATGTGAGAGCCCCTTTAACGTGGTCCTCGGGAGCCCTGAGAACCCCAAGGAGAGCCACGCAGCCTCGAGCTGCGGCACCTGCCTGTGAAACACGTCACGTTTCCGGGAATTTTCTTCCAGTAGTCTCCGGCGGGGTTTTTGTCAGTGACGCCATACCGTCGGGCGAGATCACCGTTGGGGCAGCGGGCCCATATGGTCCTGGTGCTCAGTGCCAGCTGGCAGGCCTGCAACCCTGCAGGCAAACAGGGCGTCCATCTGTCCTCAGACCCCAGCTGTAGACAGGACAGACTACCCCTTCCTACAAGCCTGCTCTCTCCTGACACTGCCCGTCAACCAGAGCGTCCCTGCAGTGACAGTGCCCTGCACTGGCTGGGCTTGGAGTGGGAGCTGAGGGAAGAGATGCCCCATTGGCAGGGCTGACAGAGACGCCAAGAGCCCAAGGCCAAAGAACAGGAGGGTCCGGGCAGCATGGAAACAATCATCCCACAAAACCCCAAGGACAGGGGCTGGCTGTCATTATACAATCCTGGGTCCCTCAGACAAGGATTGCTTAGTTAGACACTTGCTTGTCACCTCCCTCATAGAGCAGCAGACAGAAGACAGCCCTGGGTGGGACAGCCGTGGCTGCTGTGTGGAAGACACGCTGCTTGGCAGACAGTGCCCCTGTGATCACGGCGCCCGGCCAGCCCGTGGGAGTGGACGGCCACGATGTGCTTGCTCATCTCTACCTGGCACGTGCTCCCAGTCGGTCCCCACTGGCATCTCCTCAGTGATTCCAGTTCGGACGTGCACATTCCACCTGCTGTCGAGCGCCCACAGCATCTGGTCGTTGGGGCTGGAATGGACGCTGACCAAGGTGACCCCGGCAGGCTGGAAGCAGGAAGGGACTTTCCTCAGGGAAGGAGGTGGGGGGGCCGTTATTTTTGGAGAGGAAGGACGGGAGGTTTGGAGAACTGAGGACGTGTCAGCTACCACGCACAGCAGCCCACAGCAGCCTGACGTGGGACGGGAGGCACAGCAGGTGCGGGGGGCCCAGGGGGAAGCGGAGGGGACCCTCCTGCCCTCCAAGCACAGTCTCACAGGGAGAAGGACGCCAGTCAGACCATCCTGCAGCATCAGGCAAACCCACACTGAGCAACCTCCCACCACACAAGGAGCCCCGACTAGACTCTTCGGCGGCCGCACGTCCTGAGGGACAGAGGCGGAGATGGGTCAGATTACAGGAGGAGGAAGGGATGGGAGAAGCACATGGGATCCAGGGCTGGGACGGGCGCACTGCTGTAAAGGGCAATAACAGAGGAGTGTCATGTCACCGTCCATGTCCCCCCGACGGCAGCAGCTCAGGAAGGGAAGGCCGGCTCTGGGGCAACACTGGCTGAAGGATCCAGGGCGGAGGGTCTGGCCTCTGAGGGTCTCAGAAGTACGAACACAGGCATGTGCTCACAGCAGGTGAATCTGGGTGAAGGGTCTGCAGGAGGTTATTGAAATATGCCTGCAAGTTTTCTGTTAGTCTCAAGTTTTTTCTAATAAAAAGCTTAATTTTGAAAATTACAGAAATAAAAATTGTTGTTGCTGTTGTGAGTGTTGTGACAGAGGGTGAGGGGGGAGAAGGCATGTCGACTGGCTACGAGCTCAGTCAGAGGAGGGTGGGTGGCAGAGGCCTATTCAAAGGCCCAGGGAGAGGGCGAGGCGAGAGTCAGGGGAGGTCACTCTGCTGCTCTAAGACAGGAGGATGACTCCCTTCTTTCTGGGTCCCTCAACAGTCACACTAGATCCTACGGCCAATAAACAGGCAGAAGCCTGGCCCTCAGTGGCCTCATGACCAACAACAGCTCTGAGAACAAGGGCAACATTTAACTCCTGCGATGTCCTTGTCCCTCTGTAGGCCCCGTGCCCGTGAGGGGAACATCCAGAGGCACCCACCTGGACTGGCCCAGGCCCACCCCTGGGCCCTGACACCCAGTGGGAGGACTCCTGCTCAAGCGGTCCTCCTGTCTGTCCCCTTGGGCAGGTGATGGCCCCTGCTGAGTCAGTCTCCTGCCCCCGGGTGGGGCTAACACTGGCTGCCCAGGCCATGTGAGAATCAAATGAAACCCAGGCCGGAGCAGCCTCGCGGGGGTGGGCACAATGCTGGCTCGCCCTGCCCTACTCCTTGGTCAGCCCTTGTCCACACTTGACGTTTCCTGGTCCCCTGTCCACTTTTCATAGGACAAGAGTAAGCCCCTTCAATGTCCTATATGCCATCCACTAACCAGCTCTGGTTTGTCCCAAGTCTGCTGCCCCTCAGCCAGACGAGGCCTCCGTGCCTGCAGGGGCAGAGCTGGCTGGAGGGTCTGAGCCTCTGGTCACTGACAGTGCTGAGGAGCGACCAAAACCCTAGCGTCTGGCTGTCCGCTCCCTATGGACCGATGCTGCCCATTTTTCTGAACCTCACAGTGGTCCCTTTTATATTTCTGGGTCTCCGGGCCCTGCCTTCTTGGTCTGCCTCAACTGGACCCGATGTCAGTCACCCAGTGGACACTGGGTGGCTCCCTCACAGCCGACATGCCTCTCTTGCTCTGTGCTTCCCTCTTCTTGGCTGTGGTGAACGCGGTCACATTAGATGCCTCACACCCAGGCCGCATCCACATGGTGAGCTTCCTGGTACGATGCTGACCTCACACACCTGTGGGGACCAGCTACCAGGCACTCTTGGGGCACCTCGGGCAGAGGGGGCTCACCTTGCTCCCCCTGCCCCATCGAGGTGGTCGGGAACTCCAGACCTTCATGAGCACTCACCACCCCGCCCACACTTCTCATTCACCAGCAGCTCTGGGCAGGGGCTTCCTAACTGTTGGCTGAATTAATGAATGGATAAAAGACCCTCCTGGGAGGGAGGGGGCACCAAGGCCCCAGCACCACAGCTGGAGGTCAATCAATCAGATGCTCTTGGCTGAAGGGAGGGCAGGGGACACAGAGGATAGCAAGGAGGAAGGGCAGCAGCCACCCTTGAGAGCATGGTCACCGGCTAGTTATCACCGCTGGGAGACCCAGACCAGCGTCTGCCTCGTCTAAACAATTTCCAGTGTTTTCAGAGCTGGAGAAACCTAAGACCACTGCTGGCATGCTTCCAGGGATGGGAACTTACTGTCTCCCCTCCAAACCTGGGCCTTACTCTGGCTGCTAGAAATTTCTCCTTACACTGAGCTTACAGTGCAATTTGAGCAGCCACATGCTCTTGGCCTTGCAGCAGGGGCCGTCTGTCCATTTGTAATGTTTCAAGAGAGATACAGAGAACAAGCGTCCCTCAAAGGTCCTGTTAGCAGCAAAGGGCTCTTTCCTCAGCTGCATGTGAGAGGGAACCCTGCTCTGCTCATCAGGCCTGCAGTCACCCATCCAGATGCCAGGCACGGGGGAATCTTGGGGAGCTGGGCAGACGAGGCCTGACTCCTGCAGTACTGCTGAAGGATAATTTCAGATAATCACAGGTGCTATCAAGAAATAAGACAATGTTCATCACAGCATTATTCACAATAGCCAAGACTTGGAAGCAACCTATGTGCCCAGGGACAGATGAAGGGATAAAGAAGATGTGGTATATATGTAAAATGGAATACTACTCAGCCATAAAAAAGAGAAAATCATGCCATTTGTGACAACATGGATGGACCTTGAGGGTATTATGCTAAGCGCAATAAGTCAGATGGAGAAAGAAAATACTGTATGACTTCACTCATATGTAGAAGATTAACAAACAAACAAACACACAATATGCAGAACAGATTGGTGGTTACCAGAGGGGAATGGGGTTGGGGGAGAGCAAAAGGGGTAAAGGGACTCATGTGTACAGTGACAGATGGCCACAAAAGTAGACTTTTGGTGGTGAACACGATGCAGCCTATACAGAAGTCAAAATATAATGATGTACACCAGAAATTTATACAATGTTATAAACCAATGTTACTTCAATAAAAAATACATATATATTTTAAAAAATAATAAATAAGATGAGCAACCATGATGGGGGAGGTGGGTGGTGAGGTGGCTAGTGACAGCGGACGGCCAGGTGAGGAGACGGCACTAGGGCTGAGGCCTGAAGGACACAGGGCAGCTGAGGGGTGAGGGGCCAGGCATGCGTGAGGCTCAGCAGGAAGTGAGTGTGCTGGGGACTGGGGAGGATTTATTCTACGAGCTGTTAGTGGCCATGCTACCAAATCAGCCCCAGTGGAGGGCCAGGCGGCCAAGATGCCAGGCTTGGCAGAAGCCCGGACAACGGTCACAGGCATAAATCATAGCAGCATTTGAAACCCCGAGTCACCTCCAAGAGTCAACCACCAGACGTGCAGGTGAGCTCAGAGGGAGCACTGCAGCCCTACCCATTCCACATCGTCTGGGTGGCCGGGTGGGCGGCTGCAGGGCTATGGGCGGGGAGTGCACTCAGGAGGGACCACACATAGAGCCACAGAGGGTGTCTGGGCCTCCCCCGTGTTTGGGGATTTATATTTACCTCATTCCCCTCTGGGCAATAAACACACCTGTTTAGTTTTAATCCAAACTTATTTGGCACAGAACCTCCTTTACATGTATTACACCTATTTCCATCCCATGGGCCAGGGGTTCCAAGGTGCACATTTTGGCAAGTGCTGCTTTAGGCCAAGCAGAGAGCACAGGGCTGTGTCCTCAAAGCACTGGGAGAGGCCCCTCATGCCCCCATGCATGCCTGAGCCCCACTGTGTGTCGGCACCATGCCCGGGACGCCGCGGTGCGTGTCTGAGAGAGATGCAGCCAGAACTCACAGGCTCTCTCAACTAAGGAGCATCCTAAATCCTTCTCAAGTAATAAGATAAATACCAAAAGTGTCCTTTGCTTACAAATGACTCGTGTGACTGCGAATTCTTCAGCCTCATTGAGACACGGGGTCTGTGGCCTTCCCCTGGAGTCTGGCCTGTGACTTCTTTGACCAATAGAACATGGCAGAAGCAAATGGTTGGCAGGGCCGAGCCTGGTCTTCAGAGCAGGGCAGTACCGGCTCCTGCTCTCAGAGCCTGAGCCGTGTGAAAAGTCTGCAGATGTGCAGGCCACATGGAGGGGAGAGGCGTGCACAGGCCCGCCGAGGCCCCAGACATGGTGGAGCAGAGAGGTGCCGTCCATGCTGGACTCTGTCCGCATTCCTAACCCACAGTCCTGAGATGTAACAATAACGAACTGCTGTTTGAAGCCACTAACTTTGGGGCAGTGTGTTGTGAACAAGCAGAACAACGGAAAAACAGAGAAAGCTGTAATGGGGCTGGAGGATGGAGAAGAAAGAAGTGGAGAACATGACGCAGAGAGAGCGAGAGACGGTGGATGGAGGAACCCTTGGAGGAAGGGGCGGGCAGCAGAGGAGGGCAAGGAGGAAGAGAATGGCCTCCCACGGCCAGGGCAGGAGACAGGTGCTGTGCCCCTTCTCTCTCCTCTCCATCCTTGGGCTTCTATGATCTCCTAGATGTCTCTGAACTTAGGAAACCCTCGGCTCCCCTGCCCCACTGCCTGGTTTGGGCACGTCCCAGCCTGCCGACATCGCCCTCCCCTAGTCTCCAACCTTGCCGTGTCCACCTCCTCATCAGCCCTTCTCAGGATGAGGTGGGACCCACCTTCCTGCCTGCAGCACTCCCACGTCTCCCTCCTGCCAACAGAATACGTGGAAATTCCTCAGTGTGGCCCAGCTCAGCCCCAGGGTCCATGTCTCCTCTGTGCCTTGGTCCACCATTCTCTTCCTAGCATGCACTCCTTCGTTCACCTGGCCAGCTTTGACTCAGCCTGCATGACCCCAGTCAGGTCACCTCCTCACAAAGCTCCCGGCCCGGTGAGGGCCCCGATGCCCGGGGACACCTGCTTGGTCTGAGTTCCCT